ATGGATGGATGGATATTTGCTCAAGATTTAGTCATTAGACTTATTGTTTGTCTAATTTGCAATTCCAATCAAATAAAACAGTAGCAGTAAACTTAATTGTTGCAACTTTTCTGAAATTGCAATACTGGTTTAATGGGGACAAAATGTAATTTCAAGTTGATAGAATCCACAAAAGTAAACTGCCTTCACCAAAGCAGAAACAAGAGATTTCTTGGGAACAATACTTTAATTCAGCTAAACTTCCTAACCCTTCGTCTTTATGGCATCACCAATTTAAAATTTCCATTCTTAGCGTAGAAATATCACATTATGCAGCATCTTGGTGGCAAACACATTTGAATACTAACCTTGGACTATAATGTTTACAGTTCAGTCTTTGTTGTTCACCATCACTCTCTATTGTACCACCCACTATCCAATAAAAACCATAGAATTTCTTAAAGAATATTAAATATTTAAAAAATGATAAACATCAAAGTTTATTAAGCAAACTGCTGTGACATTTACTGATCATATTTTTGCTTCTAACTCTGGACATTTCATCAGTTTTATCTGGTGTTTTTATCATCTTTCGGCAGTAAGTGTAGAAACGATGTCTTTGACAGGCTTGAAGTACAAAAGTGTTCAGTCCAAGATCGACACATTGTGTGATAAAATTGCTCATTGGACTATTTAGAAGCTATTGTACCTCAAACATAGAGGCCTATTTTTTTTCATTCATACAGCAGGACATGAGGTCACCATTGTGCCAGTAATTCACAATCCCAGGAGATAATCCAAGGCCAGGCCTGATGTATGACGCTCACAAATCTCACAACAATACAAGAAAAATTGCCTACCACAATAATAAAAGAAAATTGGATGCCCCTTGTGAAAGCAGCATCTCCTCCTTAGACTGTTCTGTGTAGCATAGCAAAGTCCCTGGGTTCAAGACGGAAGGCCGTTGTTCATATAGTCGTACCAAAAGAAAATCCCTCTCTGAAAGGCCTCCCTGTTGAATTACCAGTGTGATTCATTCACAGACGGTTAGTTTCCCTTTCATCACGAACTGCCTGTCAGACATATTTGTGTGCCTTTTCAGACACCCACTTCAGGCTGAAAAGAATTTGTGAATATGCTTAAAAGCAAGCGCTCAGTGAAAAGACATGTAACCGAGATCTGCGGCGTTTTAATTAAAACGGGGGATGATTTAATGCACCGTCTATCTAATAACAAGTCTATGGCCACAGTCTTTGTGGCTAGCTCTTTGCTAATACCTGCTAATGCCAACATGCTAACAAGCGGATGTTTAGAAAGTATAACCCATGTTTACCATCTTACTCCATGTGCTGTGGCTCAGGTAGTAGAAAGGGTTGTCATAATCGCACAGTTAGTAGTTCAATCCCAGTCACCTCCACATGCTCTCGTCGGGCTTAAGCATCCACACTGAACCCCAAGTTGCTACTGATGAGATGAGCCATGCTGATTCAATCCTCACACTGTGGCTACCTGTTAAATTTCTGTTCGACTTGATCCAGTGTTGCTTTGATGTCACGCAAACACAGGCGATGATGGTATCAACCAAATCCCTGGCAGTAAGTCATATAATTGGCAAGGCATCCGCAAAGAAACACCAAAGTGGTGATGCTAGAAGTGCTAGAGAAAAAGTTATATGATCACCAAAGTACTCTCTTTAATGTCCACATTTGACATAATTCAATGGCAATTTACATCAGCTGAGATGTTTCAGTTGGGATTGAAGGGTGGACTGACTGACCAACACTGCCATCCTTACAGCTGCTCTGCTAGCTTAATGGAAAACACATAATGGGCAACTAAGGAACAAAAATAAATAAGTATGAAGAAATATAAATTCTTTATGCTGACTTTGTCTATGCTCAGCACAGTGCCAAACTAGACTCTTCCCAGGTTGCCCCTTGTGTCCGATCCTGTTTGCGATCATGAACATAATGTCAAGGCACAGTCGGAGTCAGGAGGGTGTCCAGCTCCGAGAACTCAGAGTCACATCTTTAATTTTACCAGATGATGTTGTTTTTTTGGTTTCAGTGTGCATTGGGCTAGTGTACAGTTGAGTGTGTAGCGGTTGGGATGAGAGTCAGCACCTCCGATCCGAGGTCAGAAACGTGATGTATTGTTCCCTCTGGGTTGGGGCGAGTTGCTGCCTGAAGTAAAGGAGTTTAGGCATCTCTGGATTTTGCTCACAAGCGATGGGAAAATGCAGCGTGAGGTCACGAGTACGAACGCTTGAAATACGCTTCCTCTGTACAGTGGTTAAGATTTAGGGTGAGGAGCTCAGACGTCCAGGGGGAGCCGTCAGTAGAGTCGCTGCTCCTTTGTATTGGAAGGAGATGGTTTAGATATCTGATTAGGATGCTTCCGGGGTGCCATCCTTTGCAGGTTTTCTTACCATATTCAGCTGCGAGTTGACCCCAAACTTGCCAGAGGGATTACATATCTCATCTGATCTTCAAACCTTGGGATCCCTCAGGAGGAACAGGAAAACATAGCCAGGGAGAGGGAAGTCTGGTGTGATCTGTGTAGCCCACTGACGCTGTGACATCTCGAAAAGCAGAAGACAATAGATGGATGGATGTTTCAGCAGGAGGATCATTCAAAGTGGCTCTACTGTTCATTGTGACAGTAAGAATAAGTGAGTCATGTGATTGATTTCCTCCATTAAATGGCATTTGTGTCGAGATAGCATTTTCAAATGCAACCGAGTTCAGATAAACCATGACCCCAAATTAATCTGCTAACTATTTTAAGTAATTAGGTTTCTTGTTTCCAGCAGCATTCTGCTACACAAACATCAGTAAGCCTCTCTATTACTGTTTCTGAACCTTTACTGCTAAAATCCGAGGAGCATATTGACAGTTTGCACCTACAAGTGTCTCTATTGTGACAGATGCATCATGCCAGTCAGCTGGCGGACCCCGAGGTCAGGCCAGGTGACAGTGATGGCTGACATTTGCTACCGTCGGTGATCCTCCTTGGTTTAATAGGCGCTTCCTGGTTCAGTGAACTGCATTGTGGGTCATTAGGATTCCTCTGCTTCCAGCTGAGGCCTTACCTTACAGCGTCGTCTGGATGAAAGAGCCTCCTGTGTGGGTCGGGGGTGGGGTGGGGGGTGCGTAGGGCTTGTGTGCGGTAATAGCTGTAGTACCAGAACAGGGTCGGCTTTACACACTCGTGCACGCACACACACCTGCCAGATGTACACACACCAAATCAGCTGTCCACACTTTTCCCTGTCCATCCATGTGTATCTAACTGAAACATGAATGGCTTTCCTCTTGGATGAAACAGAATAGGGCTGCCATTCCCAGGAACATTACTTCTGACTGACGGGTTTAGCTCCACTTCAAACTGATTGTCCACATGGGTACTCCTGCTGTCAGATAACTGCTGCTACTTCTGCCAAATCTACCATACCATAATATTGGCAGGTAGCAGCAGAGGTACCAGTGTTTTGTTCAGACACTTTGATTGCAAGGGCAAAAGAAGAAAAAAAGAATTGCAGCTACAGTAGTTTTGGCCACATTTGGGTATTTATAGCTCCTTCGTCGGCAAAGTAATGTTGAATAAAGACAGATTTTAATGAATGCTCTGTTTGATCACCAGGTTTCACAGTGCGGTTAATGAAGTGGCAGCAGTCTGCCAGTTATCTGTTTGCCAAATTTGTTTTGTTTTAATGTCTTAATTATGGATTGTCAACAGGTACCAAGCTTCAAATGCTCGATTTCTTAATCTCCCAAACCAAAAACGAATATTGGTATGCAAAAACTGCACAAGAACAAAGAGTCTCACTGAGCTTTGAGCCGTGCAAGTATAAAGTAAGCTAAAATAAAACACTTTTTGTGTATCAAGAAATGACAAATTCACAAGTAAGCACCTCTACTATTGAATTGGTAATGCTGCAGTTTAGTTTTGCACCTCCGTAACAATGAGGAACTTCAACTTTTGGTTTTTGTTCTCTAATGAGTCAACCGGTTCTCAAATTTTGTGCCTGATCCATCCATTTATCCATTTTGCGTTAGTTATCTAGTAGCAAGAGACAATCGCAACAGGCTACGCAGCGCATTCCAGACGTCCCTTTTCCCAGCAATGTTTTCCAGTTCCTCCTGGGGAATCCTGAGGTGCTCCTAGGCCACACGAGATATGTAATCCCTCCAGCAAGTTCTGAATCTACCCCAGCGTCTAGGTGTCCTAATCAGCTGTCCAAACCACCTCAGGTAGATTCTTTAGACGTGAAGAAGTAGTGACTACCCTGGGCTCAGATTTAGCACAGCCACCCCGTGGTTTGTATCCACAACCAAATTCATTCGGTCACTACACAGAGCTCATGACCAGAGGTGACGTATGGAACGTAGCCTGAGTAGTAAATCAAGAGCTTTGCCTTCCAACTCAGTTCACTTAATACAATGATGGTCCAGTACCACACCCACATTACCGCTGAACCTTCACCAGTCCATCCTACCTTCCACTTTCTCATTACTTGATCAAGGTTCAACAAGATCCTGAGATGCTTAAGTTCCTTGAGTTGGGGCAGCAACTCGCCCCCAACCCAGAGGCAGCCATCCCTCGGCCTCTAGCAGAGAATGATTGCTTCAGACTTGGAGGTTCTGACTTTCATCCTGGCAACTTCACACTCAGCTGCAAACCAATGAAGCCAACAGAACCACAACATCTGCCAAAAGCAAATGTGCAGCTCAGAGGTTCCCAAACCGAACAACTTCCTCACACTGCGACTTTAGATCCAGTCCATGGATGTCATGAACAGGATCAGAGAAAAGGGGCAACCTTGGTGGAGTTCAACACTCTCAGTAAACTTGTTTCACTTTGTGCCGAGAATACGTACGCAGTTCTCATTTTCGGTGTACAAGGACCAGAGGGCTTGTAGCCTTGGGACCTTGTACCCCACATGGCTCCCTCAGGGAACACAAATACAGGCCTTTTTGTAGTCCACAAAACACCTGGGGTTGTTCAAACTCCCATGACCCCCCTCTTCAACTCTGCAAGGGTAAAGACCTGGTCCACTGTTTCATGGCCATCTGTGCCAGATAAATGCCTCAACTATTTTAAAAACCACACGACTATTTTGTACTAAATTGTGTTAAAAATCAGCAATTTAAAAACACCACCCTGACAAAAAGAAAATGGCTCTCGGCAGCCATATGCCGATAATGCAATACAAATACTGACTGGCACAGACCAAGAAGCACTAAAGCAGATAATAAAAAAGAAAAATCTTAAGACGTGAAAAACAAAAAGCTTGAAGAAGCTGAAACATTATATCAATGGGGAGCCTGTCATTAAAAATCACCTGCAGGGTTGCTTGAATTATCATCACTGTGCTCCAAAGACTGTTGCTACAAAACAGTGGCAGTGAAAAGGATGTCATCATCTGCAATGAAGAAACAATGATCCAGTGAACATTAGGCTCGGCAGTAATTTCTTTTGAACGAAACATGAATAGTGAACAGTAAAGTGTGTTCTGGACTGAAATGTTACTAACAGATGTTTAATGTGGGCCCATAAGACAGAATGCCACCTATTGTCAATATGTCTGTAGCTCTCTCATACATTAGTAACATGTGGTAAATGTGATCTTTGCCATTAAAAGTGGGGAAACCGCATATCGCAAAGATAAATTCCACCAATTGCCGCATGCGTTGCTCGCTGCATGAAATGAGTTCTGAAGCCATTGCTGTGCCGTAATTCAAATTCCACAGCGGCGCAGATTATGATCCAATCATCACTAATCAAGCCTCTCGGTAGCTTCAGCACCTACGGCTCCGCGCATCCTGTAATCCGCTGAAACCTAACGAACCACCCTATGAGCACCGCCATTAAGGCATTAGCGGTGTCTGATCTCACTGCAGGCCACTGCAACGGAGTGGGGTGGGGGGAGGTTGTGCAAATTAGCCAGTGTAGTGAACTGGTGAGGTGTGCTGGTAGCTGTGGTGTTACAATATTATGAACTCTTTACACACCCCAACCTTTGAAGGTCAAGGCTGTTTGCACAGGGGGTTAAATGCCACAGAAATTAATTTCGCCCCCCCTGTCAATCTCTGCTATCGTGGTTTCCCATGACAGGAAAAAAAAAAAAAAAAGCAAATCTGAGGGGTTTAATTCTTGCCCCCCTTCCTACCCTGAATTACCCCCATCCCACACCCCTTTCCTTCTTAACATCACAGTGGTGAAATGAATTCGGCAGTGTGGGGTTAATAAAGATTACCCCCGGAGATATCCTTATGTGATTACCTTTATACACAGCAGAGATCAAAAGGAAGCAGTGGCGAGTCGGGGGGCTAAATTTAGCAGAAGTTCCCCAGGCGGGGGGAGGGAGGGGGCGCTAGTGGGTGAAATGCCATTACAAAGCAATCAAAAGAGCTGCTCTGTATGTTACTGCACGCTGGGTTTGGTTTGGATACTGACAGGCTTTTATTCCATTGATGCACACATGACATGATGCCGCTACATGTGTTGCACTTAGAGCTGAAGTAACTAGAAAACACTTTTCGGACTTTATGCTTACTTATTGTCCTGGATTGAATGCTCATGTGTGGACCACTGCAACTTCAGAAGACTCAAGGGACTACAGCTGCACTCTATATTGTTCCAGCATCGATATTGTAGTATGTGCGTAACAGTGAGGCAAATTAACTCAAACGCATCTTTGCTGCTTGATGCAAAACTTGCACGACCCTCGTTTCCCATGGCTTATCTGCACGAGAAGTCTGTCTGAGTCAACATAATTCACTCCGATTTGAGCGTTCTTGGAAACAAAGAAGGGTTTTTTGTGATTTGTTCATAAGACGGAGAGGTTTTGACGGACAGACTTCATATGTGCACAGCGAAAAAAAAGACGATTTGGCTGCAAACAGAAATATAACATCAGTCGTATGGAAATATTTTAGCTACAGAAAGGATCAAAACCAGCTCCTGTGTTGGCAATGTGTTGTTGCCGCTACACAAAAGAACACGACTAATTACTTTGACCTTTTAAATCTACACTTGTTGTCCAGACCTTTGTGGGATGAAGCCAAATCTTAGCAAAAAAAAGAAAGATTTTCAGACAGCTTTTTTCTTATTTTCGGTTTGAGTGCACTCCACTGCAAAGTCATCCCAGTCATTCGAGATGGATTAATTCTTTCCCAATAGAGTTCTTCAAGCCAACTGGTGAAAATCCTTGTATTTTCTTTTTTTAATATCGTAATTTATTTCACCTAAATATCACAATTTTCCAATAAGACATACAAGAGACCAAATGTGAAATATTCTCAGCCTGGAAACCAGTTTCTAAAACTTTTTGCTGAGTAACAGCACATTTCTGGCATCCGTGTCCTCATCTGGCAGCTAAAGGTGGAGGCCGTTCATCCTTAAAGCTGCACAAATTAGCAGCTTTACATACGCAATAAAACTACCATGTGCAGTGTTCAGCATTCCTCATAAATATATAATACAAACATCAGTGTATGTGTGTAAAACGGCACAAGAGAGGTTGACAGTGGGCTGGATATTGTATAACAGCGGAAAATTAACTTAGATCCTCTTTGCCTGAAGCAATTTTGCTGCGGAACAACAAAACACTCATAAAGTGATTAGTGACAGTCATGTGGAGCATAAAAATCTGGTTGGATCACATCTCCCGTCCTATTTCAGCCGCAATACAGGAATACACTGTGTACATCAGATGATATGATTTTGGATTTCCTCCAATCTAATCAAAAAAGAGGGAAAAAAAAACACTGTTTGTTTGTTTGTGTACAACAGGAGGTGGAGCTGTGTCGGCAGAACAGCCAGGAGAAGCTCGGCCTGACGCTGTGCTACAGAACTGACGATGAGGAGGACACGGGCATCTATGTCAGTCAGGTATGGACACAAGAAACAATCCACATTTACTCGTTTCTTTAAGGGTTTTTCATGGAAAACGCTTCCTAAATTCCCAAGAAGAGCAACGACATCGATCAGATTCTTAGTTCCCTGCACTGGCTTCCAGTTAAATGTGGATTTAAGGCCCTACTCATTATTTGCAAGTCTTTGAATCATCTGGACTGAAAATATATGATCGAAATTGTTGCTAAATACAACATCTGCAGGGACAGGCTGGTTAGTGGCACCCAAAGTTGTTATGCTGCTTTTAATTATTCAGCTTTATTTCATAAAATAAATGAAATCTGGTCTAAACTGCCAGTACTTTTGATTAATTTAAATTTAAATCATTTTTTTATTTTATTGTTTATTTATTGTTTATTTTATCTTCTCTTATTTGCATTTTTATTTTATTTTTATTTATGTTTTTTGTCTTTTTTCTGTTGTTTTGTTCAATGAATTCAATTTTTTTTCTTTAAAAATTTGTATGGGGTTTATTAAATATTTTATTCAACCTTTTTTTAAATTAATTTAACAAAAATTACTTGATGAAGTCTGGTCTACACTGACGGTACTTTTAGTTTGCATTTTTATTCATTTTATTTAAAATTTTTTGTCTTTTTGTTTTTTGTTTTTTTGGGGGGGGGTTTCTGATAATATTGGATATTTTATATTTTACACCTTATTATTTTTCTTGTTTTTGGACAATTTTCAGTTGTTGTTTTTTTTCAATAAATTCCAGTTTTTCTATACATTTTTTAAATTAGCTATTTAATGTTTTATTCAACCTTTTATTTTAATAATTTAATAAAAAATAATCTAGAAAATCTCGTTTGCACTGAGAGTACATATAGTTTGCACTTTTATTCATTTTACAAAAAATAGTTTTTTCTATTTTGTTGTATGTTTTATCTTTAACATGTTTATATTTTCCATATTTTTTCTTTTTCTGTTGTTTTGTTTTTATGTTTTTGTACAATTTTTATTCAACTTTTTACCATTTTCATTCTATTCTGCTGTATTTCGTACTCACTCCCTTTACCTTTAAAGCACGATAAGGCGCTCTATAAATTTGCATAAACTTACCTTCTTGCTAGAGAAGCACTTTTATAGCTACGATAAAAAAAACTCTAAATGATAAGATCTTATGGAAACAAAGCAGCCTGTTCATTAAAGCGAACTGAGGGCCATTCTTCGGAGCGGAAAGTTATTAAAAGATGGCATGAAATCCCATTTGAATTCCACATCTTCGCACGCTGAAGCAAAGAGCAACCGAATCAGGGGAGGAAGGAGAGAAGAAATGTTTGCCAGTCGAATATCGACTCGCATGGCCAAAGAGGAAGCCAGGTTTGAAATGCGATTCCGCTCCTGCCGTTCCCATCCCCTCCTCCTCCACCGTGTTTTAATTGAAGGTTTTAATTACCTCTGAGCGACAGCCTTCTCTTTCCCCACACAATATGTTAAATGACACATTTTCCCATTTATACTGTAACCCATCTGAATACTAAACACACAAAGCGGGAACTTATTACGGAGATTCTTTTTAAAATTCAAATGGAAAAAAAAAAAAACACTTCCTCTTGCAAAATTGTTGATAAGCCCGAATGAAAACAAATTATCGCGCTTTCGGAGACGAACCTGAATGAATGATGGAATTACGAGGGCTTTAAGCACAACAAAGTAAATTAGAAATTTTGTGTGACTGCAGGTGCGGTTTCAATCCCATTACGAACACAAAGGAAAAGGCTGTGAAAAGTAAGAGCCACTATGAGGATTAGCTCACCACCATAAAGACATAAATGGCAGAATTACAAAGACATGTAGTATATTTATCTCCTTTCTCTCCATTACCCTCCATTACTCGTCTCCATTACTTGAATATAAATCTGTGAGCTATTCCTCTGGGTTTTTTTTCACCTGTTCCTCTCAAACCAAAAGCACAAAAAAAAAAACAACAACCAGCACCTACTGAACCTCAACAGATTGCAGGAAACAGTCTCCCAGAGTCTATTTTAGTACATTTGATAAAAGGATAAAAATGCTAATTCGCCTCATTAGGATGCACGTACGGAGTGTTGGTGCAACTTTGGGGAAAAGCATTTTTTTCTCTTTTTTAGTCCAAGTTTTGTTTTTTCCACATGTCGCTATCTCTCTTGATCTTCAATGCGAGAACAACAAAGTTTACCAAATCATTGTTGCTTATGTGCATTTCCGCCGGGATGCGTTTTTGAAAAAAAAAAAATTCATTCGGCTAAAATAGCACCGCGCCGTAAACACTTGCAACTTTTCATGTTCCCGAGTTGTTTTCTTCCTCCTTCCTGGCGCTGCCTACACGACTCCGTCTGTGTAAAGACGTTACACGGCACATCTGTCGGTGTCAGTCAGCAGCTCCCTCCAATCAGAACGAATGCCAATCTGTGAAACCGACCTGTATCTTATGAGAAATAAAAGGTTGTCGGCGAGAAAATAAGCATCCAAACCTAACTGTAGACATAAAAGAGCGGCGCCGGGTGTTTTCTGGAGAATACACAGATGCACAATGAGCGGTTGTCAGAGCTGATTTCTATCTTCTTTTGTGCAGGTGGAGCCGAACAGCATAGCAGCGAGAGACGGACGCATCAAGGAGGGAGATCGGATTCTACAGGTGACGAGTGACCAGAGTACATTTACACCAGCTTATGATATGAACAGCTTCCAACATCGTTTTTTCTCTTTGTGTAGTTTTAAGCCTCGGTGTTCGTCACTATTTACACTATTTTTTTTTTATTTCTGTGTGGAAAAAGGCCTCCAAGCTGCTTGTAAGACAGCCTTTTTAGAGAAGCTGCTGGAGTCTCCAATCTGGGGAAGCATATGCATATTTAATCACCTCGTTTTACCGGGGAAATTAAAGTCCTTAGTCGCATTTACACCAGGCACTACATCATCTCCTGGACCACTCTCTCATTATGCAGGAACACCTATGGGGGTCAGAGACTGTGAATAGCTCTTCTTAAAGCTGCTTCCAGTACGCAAATACAAAAACTGGACATGCAAAGCGAGCTATAGGAGAAACCAAATGTTGCACACACATGTACTGAAACATACGTGCAGCTTTTGTTGCATTGCTCATTGTTTTTTCACTAACAAAGTGGGAAAAGTTTGCACTCTTGACTTTCCCAATAAGTGGCAGCAGGTGTGTGAACAGTCCCTTGTTCGGTCTTAACAAGGAGTCGGCTGCTGTTTTTTTTTGTTGCCACGTTTGTTTTCTCTCGTTACATTCGTGCATAATCAGGCATGAAAGTATGCACATGTTGACGTGTTTTCGTCTGCATTTATTCAAATACTTTTGTCGTGTTCGCGCAGCTCGTTAACAAGCTCACTCAAAACATCTTGCGCCTCTTCCTCCTGATTGGCTGCTACCTTGAAAGCCTATTTAAGCCTCCAGAAGCACACAGTTTGTAAGGTTTACTCATGACTTGCAGACCTGTTTCTCACTTCTCTGTTCATGCACATGCATTTTTTTGCATTATTCTGCATTATGGGGACAAAGTTGTGTTGCATGACCGAAACAAGCTGCACATTTCTCTAAAGCATCTATCAGCTTTAACATGAAATCCTAACAGGACACAGCGTTCTGATTTAGCAGAAGGAAACTCAAGGGGCTTATTTTATGCATTTAGAATAGATTCATCACTTAACCATGTGTTGTGTTTGTAAATTTACCACCACATTGTAATGCAAAACCAGAAAATGTGTCTATATTTGAAATCTTCTTCGTCCTTGAAAAGCTCCAAAAACACTGAACCAGCAAAGGAGTAACTTTTTATTTATGCTCACTTGGTTATTTAACTCTCGGCAATGTTATTATTGATGTTCTCAGAAAGCAACATCTCCACTAGATTACCATCTGAACACCAGCGTACCAACACCACCCCTCCTCTATATTTATTTAATCTAACGCTCTCGGTACCTCCATTCTCAACAACGCAGTGTTTCTGTTTCCCAGCACGATGAGTGATTGCGGGGAGCAAGGCCCGCTGTACTCCTGGCCCTATTATCTTCCTCTGACAGCCCCATTACTCTAGTGAGGAAAAGATGAACGTCACCTGTCAAAGAACAGTTAATTGTATGTCTGGATGCTGCCGCGGTGAGAGCAGACTCTCGTGAGGTCGAGACTACGCACTCGCAATTGACTCCCCTTTCGCTGAAGCCTGCCCGAGCCTTTTACCACGGATTTGTGGAGTTTGGAGGAAGTGATGGCGGAGAGGAAGAAAGACGGATGGTGGGGAAAGAATGCGAGGGAGAAAAAAAAAGAGACTAATGGAGGGAGAGAATGGGCAGCAGCAGGGAGAAGGATAAAATCAGAAGGTGGCTCGAGGGTTCTCGCGCTAACAATAAAGTTAATTCCCGTTGTTCTTCATGTTAGTTAAAGAGATGATAAAATGAAAAACCTTTTGTTGGGGGTGTGGTTTTTCTACTCTCAAGGGACAAATTCCCAGCACTTGCAAGATATTAAACCTAGTTTACTGGTTCTAGAGAAAGCTTTTTCTTATTTTGATGGGTTGGGTTGACTTAATAATGCTGGTAATTGCTTTTACGTTAATATTATGTGTAATTTAAACCCAAAATTCTTCGTTGATTGATTTTAAAATCCAATTCAGGTTGATATAACTTAATGAAATTGGATTTTTCTTCACCTTGCATTCAGGATTTGAAGTCCCCTCCTCTATCTTAACATGGGGGCCATTTTGGATGGTTACGACTTGGAATGAATTGTAGAGGATAAGCTAATTCATCCAACTCTGTGCTGGTTGAACTGATTGAGAACTGTTTTCTATTGAGCCCAAACATTATATTTTTAGAGTGTACAAGTTCTTTCTCATTAACACAACCATCTACACTTGCATTTGACATACAGATAAATGGCTGTGAAGTGCAGGACAGAGAAAAAGCTGTTGCCTTGTTGTCAAGTGAGGAAGTAAGGAGCATCATACTACTGGTGACAAGGCCAGAAATCCAGGTAAGCACACACCTACGCAGCCTTCCTTGCCCCATCTTGACAGCCTATGTCATGTCGAATAAAAACAGCTGCCTGCTAAGTGCCTTTCTCTCTCCTTGCCTGTCACCGTAATTGTTTGGAGAGCCTACACACCCTCACACCAAAACACATACAAAAACCCATAGACGGAGAAAGAGAGAGACAAGTTTTCTGAAAAAGATGTTGTGGTTTTTAGCTGGAGGAGGACGCCGCATGGCTGGATGATGAGCAGCAGGAGCTCGTGGAGGAGCTGAAGATGGAGATCCTGGAGGAGAGGAGGAAGCAGAAGGAGCATCGCTTTGGCAGGGGAGACGAGGTGAGGGTGTGCGCTAAGTGAAATAAATCTCACACAAGAGCAAAAAAAAAAAAAAAAAAGTGCAATAAAGAGGTGTCAGGAAATAAACTTAGGAGGAGAGGTGACAGGGAAGGAAGGAGAGACTGAGAAGAAGAAGGTGGCAGAAGAGGAAAGATGGCGAGAGAGCGGGATTTGATTTATTTAATCATCAAATCATCTTTCTGCAAAATCCAGAGGTTATGCTAAATGCTAATATGTGCATATGGCACCTTCAAAGTGGTAAAAGTTGGGAAAGACCGTGGCTATGGCAGATGGTTGAGGTTGAGTAATCATCCATACTTACAGTCCCTTTGCATATAGAACACTTTATGCACTGGCATGGAGCACTGGATGTAAATCATGTGGTACAAAATTGCCCAATATGGATGTGATTTTTTTTAGGTATAATTGATTCTCTCTTCCCAGTGCACTTTGTAATCAAACCATGAAAAGCAACAAGCTTTTGCATTTAAATAAAACAGCCTTGAATAACGGGAATGTTTTCTCTACATTCCCCAGCATCAAGCTGAAGAAGAGATGACAACAGACACAGCTACCTGTTCCTCCAACAATCAAGACAGCGGGTTTGGACGCAGTACAGACAGTCCGGAGCACCAGCCCCTATTGGCCAGACTCCACCGGAGGAGTCCAGCGCATTGCCTGAGGGATCGATGGCGGGCGGAGCATCCACACACCAGGCGAGGGGTTGTTGGGGCACAAGAAAGTCAGGGTGCAAGAACATTGTCCACGAGCCAAGGCCATGAGGGGGTCGTGAGCATTCGCAATGGTGGTGGTGGGATCCTTGGTTTAGAGAATCGCTTCCAGCAACTCCTGGAGCTCAAATGTCAAATCCGGAACGGGGGCGAGTGTGGGGTGTACTCCATTCGACACAGTATAGAGTGTAGTCTAACTGAGCAAGGAGGAGGGGACGAAGATAGCGTGGATGATGCAGGAGGGGAAGGAGGGGTGGAGCAGGAGTTGAGGATGCTAAATGAAGAATTGCGTAGCATTGAGTTAGAGTGTCAGAGCATCATGCAGGCCCATCAGCTTCGCCAGTCCCACCAGCTGGAGCACTCGCAATCCTCGCCGTGCTCACCAGGAAGGAGCCCCAAAGATGGACACAAGCGGCACGGCAGACTGGCCGACATCCACGAATACCCGGAGAGGTCGGACAGCGATAAGATTCGCGAGAAGGACAGCTCCAGTGCCTACAACACAGCAGAGAGTGCACGGTCAACGCCGCTCGGTATGGAGAGGTCACCTGACCACTCTCTACAGAGACACATCAGCATTGCCAACCAGAAAAACCTCAGACTGGCCTCTACCACACCCTCCAGTCCCATCCCTATTCCCAAGCCCCAGGGCACAGCCAATCGTAGCAGACCGGCTGATCCAGGGCCTGTTATCTCGAGCAGCCCAGACCAGAGCAATCCTTCCAGGTCTGAGTCGGATCCTGCCTTGCCGGCAGACGATGAGAGGTGTGAAAAGAAAGGGAGGACTAGAGATTCAAGGAGAGGGCTTCCCTATGGGTCTCCATATCAGACAACTCCTTATCATGGCCAGGGAGGATCCAGGCAACTCCAGGTATGTATCATCAAGAAGGCACATGTAAATCCCATGCTGATATGCCTTTGAGTAAGGTACATCAAAAGAACAACTCTGTGCTTACAGTGTTCTCTGTGTTGCAGAGCTACATGCAGTTGCTACAGCAGCACTCGTCCCTCGAGTATTCTCAGAGCCAGCTGAGTCTCCTCAGTGTCTGCCGAGATCCTGTGCACCGTAACGGACGCCCCGGGGAACCTCGTCTAGAGTGGAAGGTCAAAGTTCGTGCAGACGGGACCCGATATGTTGCCCGGAGGCCTGCTCGTGACCGCATACTGAGGGAGCGGGCACTAAGAATCAGAGAGGAGCGTAGCGGGGGCATGACCACAGACGACGATGCCATGAGCGAGATGAAGATGGGCCGCTACTGGAGCAAAGAGGAGAGGAAGCAGCACTTGGCGAGGGCCAGGGAGCAACGAAAAAGGAGGGAGTTTATGCAGAAGAGCCGCCTCGAGTGTCTGAAGGAGGGACCAACGAGTGGCGCTGAGGGCAGAAAGGAGATTAATATCTTAGAGCTCAGTCACAAGAAGATGATGAAGAAACGAAACAAGAAGATCCTGGACAACTGGATGACCATCCAGGAGCTGATGAGCCATGGAGCCAGAGTCCCAGAGGGCTCCAAAGTACATAACGCCTTCCTCTCTGTCACAACTGTTTAGTGGACATGTTTGATACTGCATATTAAGAACCGAATGCTTTTATATCAGGTGGCCTGCATTTCAGGAACAACTGCTTGGTTATAAAAAAAAGTGTTAGTCTGTGTGGATAAATCAATGCTGAGGACTTCTGTAGCATTCCCGAAGCAAGTTTGTAACCACCACTTAAAGAATGTTTGTTCACTACCAGACCTCAGCCATTCAAAACATGACTTTTAACAGTTTTTACTGGCTTTTTGGTAACGCACTGGATTCCGATAGCAGATGAGTTTGGTAGCATGTTGGTTCAAACAGATTCACGGAAAAAAAACCTGAGTGACCAACACATTAATTTGTGTGTACTATTTGTTGTGATTCCATGCTCCCCATTCTTCTGTTTCGTTGCATATGAAGCGACTTGACTTGCCTCGTTCAATGTGGCGTTTTTTTTAATAATCTGGAAAATATTTTTCACATTTTTGTAAACTCTAACTTTTTTGTAAGGAAAATTTTTACACTGAATGTCAATGTACTGTAAGCATTTTATTGTAATTTCTTATTTATGTTTGCATCACCAAAATATCAAAGGTGACACTATTTGATTGTACTGTAGCCCACACTGTACGCCAGACCAGCACAGATATGACAAACCTCATGAAGGACAACGCTTCCCCATCACAAAACACTTCTTTTGATGTGTTCGCTAATGTCACTTGAGTCACAAAAATGTATAGCACTCATTTTAAAGCACTGAAAATATCAGTACGCCTTCTCAAAGACTCATATTATTCATGAGCCGAGAGGGCCTTTTTGAAACAGTTTTACCTCAACTTACAAACAAAACTCTGGCCTATTAAGTATTGAAATACTTGGCTAATGGAATCACTGACTTAACCTCCAACCCTTGCTTTGAAGCATAAATGTGTGAGTTATGTTCAAAATGTTAAACAGATTCATATTTATATTGTTTACAGTTATTTGTATTTATTGTAAATTAATTTTTATGGTCTGTCTGATAAGTGTTTCACATTAAGTGGCTACCCTTGAAACGCTTTTCAAGGGTCTGTCGAAAAAATGTATCATACTTGCAGCCTTTCAACTCAGAAGTGCTGCTTTTCTCTGTAAAGTTAATTGAAGAGGCCTTGAGTTCAGTATTTGTTGATGGTGATGTTTGTAATAAAAGAATAATAATAAAAAAATAAGGAAGTGGAGAAAGACTTTCAGTCCGTAATGAACTCTTGAACATTTTATCTTAAAAGTCATTATGAGTTTATTTATGTTCAGTATATTAACTTACACTTTAAGTTTTCAGCCATGATAGCGGTGTGGCAGTGTACATTAAAGAGCCCATATGATGCATGTTTACCAGTTTCGAACTACATTTTTGTGGTCTACTAGAAGAAGATTACATGCTTTTATGTTCGAAAACATTTTTCTTTATATTGTACGAGGCTGTAGCACCTCTTTTCAGCTTCTTCCTGAAACGCCTCATTTTTGCTGTGGTCACTTTAAAGGCCTCCTTCCTAACAGCCCAGTTCACTCTGATTGGTCAGTTGGCCCAGTGAAAGCCAGGTCATGTTGGTTTATCACCTTATATCACCTTATAGGATATAGTTCTAGTAAAAGCAAGTCTAGTGAGGCAATGATGACGGATTGTTAAGTAGAAGCTCGTTCTTTGTTTGATGGTGAGCCAAACCAGCTGCTAGACAGACATTATGCAAATGGTTTACATAGTGATGTAAATAGGTAACAGCAGAAAAGCTTGGACTTGAAATGTGGTGTTTCCAACCAATGTTTCCTGTAGGGTAAGGACTTTGGGCAAATTTGCAGCCCTTTCACATACACAAAAAGCTATGAAACACACTAAAGGAAAGAAAAAAAAGGCAAAACATAACATGGGCTCGTTAGGACAGTAAATGTACCTTGAAAAAACGTTTAGCTCAAAGCAGCACAGAGCCTCATAGAGCTGCTAATTAGCACTTTTGCATTCAGTGAAAATCCTTCTTCCACCGAGTCTACTTAAGGAGTCTTGCTGAAGAAATCGACTTATCACCTGTGTCTGGGGAGCTTGTGGTTACTTACGTCTGGATTATGGTAAATATCAGTTCCCTACGCATCAGAATACCTGACAAAATCCATATCATAGTGTTTGTATTATGCTTCCCTCTAGTTGCAAACACAAGAAGCCCCGAAGTTCTTAGTGATTCAGTTTGAACCCGTCATACATTATGCATGCTGGGGCAAGTGGTTCACACGTTTGGATTTCAGAGTCATGCTTATAAAAGTGTACGTTTGGCAAAGAAAATGCGTCGTCTGGTGTGGAAAGAGATGATTTGTGCGTGCATCAGGCAAAGACTGCATGGGAAAGAGGCAGCTATGTGGTTTATCTACAGCTGAAAATGAAGGAAATGCCTTGTGGTTAAGTGCTGCAACTGATCGATACCGTGCAATCAGCTGCACTCTAAAAACATGGAGGGAATGATTATAGAGCTAATTGATTGCTGATTGAATGCATAAGGGAATCACATGCACCTGGAAAACTACCACACCTGCCTCCGAGCTGTACCAAACCTCCTGATCTCCATATTCACAGGAAATCATAAGGCATTCTGATGTTTTAGTGGCTTGATAGCACACATAGTAATTTGGCCTGTCGCTATAGTTTACAGTATTCATGTATTCATGCTGGGATGACTGACTGGCTGGCTGTGTGGTGGGGGGGTGGGACATGGGTGCAGGGAATGTGTGCGCGGAAGGGGGTGCGTGTCCATTTAGCGATAGGAAGCATCAAAGCTAAACTATACACCCATTTCAAAGCATTAAGGAGACACCGGAGAAGTCTCCTCATCCCCTGTCAGTGTGCTGTGTCTGTCCACAGCCCACTGAACTGAAGAATTAATGAGAGACATCAGACTGGCATCCCCATCACCGAGGCCCTTATGCATAATATTAAATCAGGTAAGCACTGCACCCACTTTTCTTGCAGCTACCCCCATATAATATCCAACTAGTTCTATCTGTGTGACAGAAGTGGCACAAGAACTGAGGAATAATTTGTTGCAGTGAACCTAGAATTATAAATGATTAATCCCAATGTGCAAAGCAAAGATAATTGAATGTTGATCGGTTACACACCACTCGTCCAAACAGGAACCGGCTTCCATACATGCATGAAGCACAATAGCATGACCAGAATACATAGCTTAATGCTGTGGTTTTGAGGCTTATGTTGCGCACAAGCTTTAAGCTTTCAAGATAAGAAAATGCCACCAGGACTTTATGGAATAAGCTTTGTGACAGGAGCATTTTCTTTTCTTTAGTGTTTCATGTTCACCCCTTTTGGAAGTTTCAACTTTGAATCCTAATCCTGGACTCTTTTGCGTCAAAGTAAAAATTGATTTCCACAAAGGAATGCTGATTAATTTACAAAATAAAAGGTAACATGAGTGATTGCACAGGTATTCACCCCCTTCAAGTCATTATTTAGTAGATGCACCTTTGCTCACAACTGTGGGGATAAGTCTCTTTACACATCTGGATGCTGGAATTTTACCCAATTCTTCTTTGCACATAGTGCTCATGCTCTGTCAGGTTGTACAGGAATTGTAGCTGAACAACCCTTACCAAGTCCAGCCACAAATTCTCCATCAGTTCAAGCTGTGGGCACTGACTCGGCCACTCCAGAATATTCACTTTGTTGTCTTTCAACCTCTCCTGCAGTTTTGGCTTTATGCTTTGGGTCATTGATTTGCTGGAATAACAATCTTCTCCCAAGTCGCAGTTCTCTCGCAGACTGCATCAGGCTGTCCTCTAAGATTTCACTACACTCCACTCCACCTCCACTTTTACAAGCCTTCCACGTCCTGCTGCCAAAAAACATCCCCAATACATGATGCTGCCACCACCGTGCTTCGTGATGGAGATGGTATCGTTTAGTCTGATGGCCACAAAGATACCAAAGAATCTTCTTCCAGGTGACTTCCGAGGCTCACACATGCATTAATTGTAGTCAAAATAAATGTGAGCTTTTTTTTTTAAACCATAGAGGGTGAATATTTTGTGTTGGTACTGTAGTTAACAAGAAGAATCCACTTCTCTCAAAAGAAGAAAACACTTTCAAAGCTTTAAGTATTAATTTTAGATGCACAGGCATTGGTGTTGGTCATCAAATTCCATTGTGCTATATGCAGAATGGAAAATATTCAATTTAAACTCCACATTTATTAAGAAAGTGTGGTCAAGTGTGAAGCCCATCCATCAGCCTATTAGCATAAAGAATGGACACAGCGTAAAACACCAAGCCTTGTTTTGCTTATAGGGAACCATTTGCCAGGAACTAACTAATTAGCACATCATGGGTTTATTAGATATGTAAGTGACATGTTAAAAAAAAATATCCTCTAGCCTTATAGAGACAAGAATTCACCCAGGAATGAAGCAAGCAGGCTCTTTGCAGGGTAAGAGAAATAAGATGAGGCTGTCTTGCTTTGAAATCATGAAAAACACCGCCAGACAGTAGGAATGCCGGCTGGTGCTGAAAAAAAGAGCCACGGCAGGTTAAAAAGTGAGCAGCAGAAAGCAGAAAATAGACAATGCAAAAGAAGATTCTTAGAAAAGTGTGACAGAATGAGACGAGCCAAAGGAGTTGGGGAGAAAAGTGGTAGTGAATTATATAAATGGGGTCGAAGAGCTGGAGGTGCTCCTTTATGAGAATGAAGACGAGGCCACACTTATTGATGCAGTGGGGAGGAGACGTTCTCAGAGGGAGCCTAGAAAGGTCCTTCATATGGAGATAAAGGTGCTAAAGGAGGAGAGTAGTGAGGATGAGGAGGTGGAGGGCACGAGTAAGGATCCAGTGGAGGCTAAGCAAGACTTTAAATGGAGGGAAAAACATGTATGCAGTGAAACAATCAATAAATAACAAAAGTTCAGAATGTGTTTTTCTTAGAAATCATAAATTTGTAGGGTCAGTTTATATGAAATTAAAAATGAATCATGTTCTCAGTTACCCAGTTTTTTAGATT